AAATAGAATTGCACCTCTGTATTGCACAGTTGATTCTAACTTAGCTGAAAGAATGATCAGACTTTAAACTATAATTTTCCAGAACACAGAGATAAAACTAAGTATTTGAATATCCTGCAACTTTGCAATTTCTCCAACTTAGAAATCATGGAGGGTTTGAAATTTTCACCTCAGGTTCATGTCCACAGTGAGAGACATGATCTAAAAAAATCTGTAAATCCAGGAGTGCATGTGCATAAATGGTAATAATTAATCGTGTTCTTTAATAATATTTCTTTACAATCATGTTTCCTTTATTCAGTATATTTCTCATGAACAGTTGGGCCCATTTGTATCCATTATTGTTTTTACCTAAGATAAACCTCATGGTCTGATACAACTTTGGGTCTAACATTGGCAGGATTATTTTGATGATCTGAACTTTGAGGCGTAACCAAGATCTGCTTTGGGTAAACCTGATTGGCTGCAGCCTCTCTGCACTGAAACATGAGTCATAAATCAGGACAAACCAGTTTCTGTTCTCATAAAGTGAAACTCAGACAGTCACTGTGACTGAGAGCAGAAATGGAGCAGAATCAGTTCGACCGAGAGACTTTCTCCTGTTCCATCTGTCTGGATCTACTGAAGGATCCGGTGACGACTCCCTGTGGACACAGCTACTGTATGACCTGCATTAAAGGTCACTGGGATGAAGAGGATCAGAAACGAATCCACAGCTGCCCTCAGTGCAGAGAGACATTCATACCAAGGCCTGTTTTGAAGAAAAACACCATGCTAGCAGCTTTAGTGGAGCAGCTGAAGAAGACTGGACTCCAAGCTGCTCCTGCTGACCACTGTTATGCTGGACCTGAAGATGTGGCCTGTGATTCCTGCACTGGAAGAAAACTGAAAGCCATCAAGTCCTGTTTAGTCTGTCTGGCCTCTTTCTGTGAGAAACACCTTCAGCCTCATTATGATTCAGCTGCATTTAAGAAACACAAGCTGGTGGAGCCGTCCAAGAACCTCCAGGAGAACATCTGCTCTAAGCATGATAGGTTGTTGGAGGTCTTCTGCCGCACTGATCAGAAGTGTATCTGTCTCATCTGTTTAATGGATGAACATAGAGACCATGAAACAGTGTCAGCTGCAGCAGAAAGGACTGAGAGGCAGAGAGAGCTGGAGGAGAGAAGAAGAAAAATCCAGCAGATGATCCAGAACCAGGAGAAAGATGTGAAGCTGCTTCAACAGGAGGTGGAGGCCATCAATCACTCTGCTGAGAAAACAGTGGAGGACAGCGAGAAGGTCTTCACCGAGCTGATCCGTCTCCTCCAGAAAAGAAGCTCTGAGGTGAAGCAGCAGATCAGATCCCAGCAGGAAACTGAAGTGAGTCGAGTCAAAGACGTTCAGGAGAAGCTGGAGCAGGAGATCAGTGAGCTGAAGAGGAAAGACGCTGAGCTGGAGCAGCTCTCACACACAGAGGATCACTACCAGTTTCTACACAACTACCCCTCACTGCCAGCACTCAGTGAGTCGACACACTCATCCAGCATCAACATCCAACCTCTGAGACACTTTGAGGACGTGACAGCAGCTGTGTCAGAGCTCAGAGGCAAACTACAGGACGTCCTGAGAGACTCATGGACAAACATCTCACTGATGGTCACTGAGGTGGATGTTCTACTGTCAGAACCAGAACCAAAGAGCAGAGCTGGATTCTTAAGATATTCATGTGAAATCACTCTGGATCCAAACACAGCAAACACATGGCTGGTACTATCAGAGGGGAACAGGAAGGTGACATGGATGAATCAGGATCAGTTTTATTCTAGTCATCCAGACAGATTCACTGATTGGCCTCAGGTTCTGAGTAGAGAGAGTCTGACTGGACGTTGTTACTGGGAGGTGGAGAGGAGAGGGAGAGTTGATGTATCAGTCGCATACAAGAGTATCAGCAGAGCAGGAGATGGGGATGAATGTTTATTTGGATATAATGATAAATCTTGGGCATTAAATTGTAGCAATAGTAAATTTGGTCACAACAACATCTGGACCTCCATCTCAGGTCCAGTTCCCTCCAGAGTCGGAGTGTACCTGGATCACACAGCAGGTATTCTGTCCTTCTACAGCGTCTCTGAAACCATGACTCTCCTCCACAGAGTCCAGACCAGATTCACTGAACCGATACTGGCTGGAGTTTGGGTTGGTTCTGGATCCTCAGCAGAGTTCAGTAAACCCAGATAGATTTCCTCTTGTCTCTCAGGTTGTTGATCAGGGTTCATGGTTCTGGTGTCTCTGCTGTTCTGATCTTCTTTATTTTTCCGGTTTAGTTCTTTGTGTTACAGGAGCCATAAAGGAACTTTATATATTTTGATGTTTTATTTGTTGTTAAATCAGTTTAGATGAAAGTGATCTGAACTTGATTCTGTTTTCTATGTTGTGATCCAGAAAACCTGAAACATCAAATCAGAACTGAACCTGCTTTCTTCTTATATTTTTAGATTTAGATCAGAAATAAATGTCTGTTGTTCGTCTTCAATAAAGAAACTTGATTACAGAGAAATGCTGAAAGTTTCCTAATCATTATTGAGCTCAATTGTATGATTGGTCGTCTATTGTGCAGAAACTTTTCTTCCAGAGTCTCTTATTTGCTGCTGAAAAAGATCAGATGTTTGGTTTCGTCTTCATTCATCAACAACGCTCTGCATCCACCAGCACAGAAAGATCCTGGCAGCAGAAATGAAGAGGAGCTTGAAGCTCCTCCACTGTCAACATTTAGAAAATTGTGAGAAAAGTTGGAGACGTGTCATAAAACCAGTGGTGATAAAAGTGGGTCTGCACTGTATGCAACGCATCGGGGCCCAAAAACGATGTGGGGAATGTTTTATTCTAGTGGTCATGTTCTGCATTTAACAGCTGTTTGTGGATGCATGAAATGATCAGTAGTAGAGGAACGGCACTGATGAGGTGCCTCCTCTCGTTAGGGTTGCCAACCGTCCCATAAACTGATGAATCGTCTCGTATTTGGCTGTTAATTGCTGCATCCCGTATTGAACCGAGACCAATTTGTTCCATATTTCTATCCATGTCTGATAGACACACCTGTCACAGATCTCAACAATAATGACCAAAACAAAGGAAATATGAAGGTCAGCTAAATTGTAGTGGCAGGAGCTAAACAGGACCCCAGACCCTGGTGTCATGGTTACCTAGAGACGGACACTAAGGGGCCGCGGTGAGCTGCCATCAACCTGCGTCTTTTTAAAATGTCCACCAATTCTCCGCCGTCCCTAGAAGCAAAACCTCTGGCAGAAATACAGACGTGAGCAGGAAGACGCACATCCCAGGCTGAACAACGTCAGAGAAGTTATATAGATTTAAAAAGGAAATGTGTCTCGATATTCAGTGACGCATGGAGAGCTGTGTGTTATCAGACCGAACCCCCTGAGAGTTCGATTGTACAAAACCTCCCCAAGCAAAACAGACTTTCTAGGCAAAAGAGCCAAAGTTTGATTAAAGTGGACTAAGCAGGGCTGGTGTGAATGCAACCTAAGTTTTTATTTGTGCTCCTTCAAAATATTTTTGTGCCTATATACCAATTGCATTAATTTATTTAATTCATAGTTATTGCCTCTTGGTCAGATTTTTACAATATTAACATTTCGTTTCATTGCCTTGTGGATGACATCCAGATTTATATGCCCCTAAATCGACTAGATGGTAAAAATGAATCTCTACAGGTATTAATAGATTGTTTATCTGAAGTTAGATCATGGATTGAGCTAAACTTTCTTCACCTCAATCATAGCAAAACTCAAGTCATATTATTTGTCAAAACCGTCACACTAATAATCCAGACTTGATACTTGGTTCTTTATCTCCGTTTTGTCGGACTTCAGCCAGGAATCTTGGTTTTATCTTTGATAACTGTTTAAAATTCAACAAACAAGTTAGTTCTGTTGTTAAATCAGGTTTTTATCACTTGCGGATTTTAGAAAAGGTGAGATCTTCATTTTGTTTTAAGGATTTTGAAGGAATTATCCATGCTTTCATTACATCTCGATTGGATTATTGTAATTCTGTATATAAAGACCTGGATAAATCCCTGATTCAGCGTATTCAAGTGATCCAGAAAGCAGCAGCTCGGCTTCTTACAAACACCCAGAAGAGAGACCATATAAGGCTCGCATTGGCCTCATTACACTGGCTATCTGTTTCATATCCAATAGATTTTAAGATTCTTTTAACAACTTTTAACAACAATTTAAAGTTTTAAATGGGTTAGCTCCTCCTTATCTCCAGGATCTTTTGAAACTTCATTCTGTGTCCAGAACTTTACGATCAAATAATCAGCTGCTACTGAATGTTCCTCAGACTCGACTTGAGAGAAACGGAGATCTGGCTTTCTCGGTGGCTGCTCCGACTCTATGGAATAATCTACCTTTCCAGATTAGATCTGCCCGCAGCCTGGATCATTTTAAATTGCTTCTTAAAACTCATTATTACTCTTTGGCATTTAACTGAGGCCTGATACTGTAGCTCTTCTGTTGTGATGGTTTTATTCCTTTACTTATTATTACTCTTATTTTAACATTATGCATATATTTTTCTCGTATTATTTTTCTTCTTATGTTCATCCATTTGTTTTATTATCATTTTTGTACAAAATCTAATTTTGTTTATATATCAGCCTTTGTAGACCTTCTCATTATAAATAAATACAATGTGAACATACCAGACCATAATGTAACTTGATCTATAGACAGAAATATTAAATGTATCACACAGCTCAATGAAGGTTGTTCATTTAGTCATTATTAACTAACCTTTGTCTGTTTAATAACTACAGTAAATAAACTGATTTAAAACACAACAGATATTCAGGCTTTATTTGTTGATACTAAATTCAGGTTTTTGGTGGTGGCGTTTGTGATTAACCTCATGGTCTTATGAAACTTTGGGTGAAACCTTAGCAGCATTATTTTTATGAACTTTACCTTGTAACTGGGTGTAACCAAGATCTGCCTTGGGTAAAACCTGTTTGGCTGCAGCCTCTCTGCACTGAAACATGAGTCATAAATCAGGCCAAACCAGTTTCTGTTCTCAGGGAGTAAAACTCAGACATTCACTGTGACTGAGAGCAGAAATGGAGCAGAATCAGTTCGACTGAGAGACTTTCTCCTGTTCGATTTGTCCTCAATGCAGACAGACCTTCACATCAAGACCCGTTTTGAAGAAAAAGGTAAAGTGTATCTGTTATCTCTGCACTATGGATGAACATAAAGGCCATGAAACAGTGTCAGCTGCAGCAGAAAGGACTGAGAGGCAGAGAGAGCTGGAGGAGAGACGAGGAAACATCCAGCAGAGAATCCAGGACCAGGAGAAAGATGTGAAGCTGCTTCAGCAGGAGGTGGAGGCCATCAATCGCTCTGCTGATAAAACAGTTAAGGACAGTGAGAAGATCTTCACCCAGCTGATCCGTCTCCTCCAGAAAAGAAGCTCTGAGGTGAAGCAGCAGATCAGATCCCAGCAGAAAACTGAAGTGAGTCGAGTCAAAGATGTTCAGGAGAAGCTGGAGCAGGAGATCACTGAGCTGAAGAGGAAAGACGCTGAGCTGGAGCAGCTCTCACACACAGAGGATCACAACCAGTTTCTCCTCAACTACCCCTCACTGCCAACCCTCAGTAAGTCGACACACTCATCCAGCATCAACATCCGTCCTCTAGGACACTTTGAGGACGTGACAGCAGCTGTGTCAGAGCTCAGAGACAAACTACAGGATGTCCTGAGAGACTCATGGACAAACATCTCACTGAAGGTCACTGAGGTGGATGTTCTACTGTCAGAACCAGGACCAAAGAGCAGAGCTGGATTCTTAAGATATTCATGTGAAATCACTCTGGATCCAAACACAGCAAACAGAGAGCTGGGACTATCAGAGGGGAACAGGAAGGTGACATGGATGGATCAGGATCAGTTTTATTCTAGTCATCCAGACAGATTCACTAATTATTCTCAGGTTCTGAGTAGAGAGAGTCTGACTGGACGTTGTTACTGGGAGGTGGAGTGGAGAGGGGGAGTTTATGTATCAGTCGCATACAAGAGTATCAGCAGAGCAGGATTCGGACATGACTGTATTTTTGGATATAATGATGAATCTTGGGCATTAGATTGTTCTCAAATCAATTGTACATTTTTGCACAACAGCATCTGGACCTCCATCTCAGGTCCAGTTCCCTCCAGAGTCGGAGTGTACCTGGATCACACAGCAGGTATTCTGTCCTTCTACAGCGTCTCTGAAACCATGACTCTCCTCCACAGAGTCCAGACCAGATTCACTGAACCGATACTGGCTGGAGTCTTTCTTGGAAAATCTGCTGAGTTCTGTAAACTTTAACTGCAAGATTCTCAAATACGAGCTGGTCTGACAATAAAATAAATCCTTGAATTCTTGAATGTTTGTTGTGTTTTATTGACTCAGAATCATCATGTATTTTTGTTTCAGGTTTCTCTTGACATATTTTTGGGTTGTTTCGTTTACTAGGAAGTTCATGAGCAAAATCCTTTATTATGGTGTCTCATCTAAGTATTTGCTTCTACAAAAAGTTATTATACTGAGGTCATTTTCACACCTGATAGTTCGGTGGACTCTGATCGATTGTAGACCAAAATTGCAACATTTGTTAGGGTTCACTTTCACACCGCACTGTCAAACCAACCAAACCTTTTGAACAACTTGTTCACCTCCTCGCCTGTGGGGGCACTGCACCAAGAAACACTGAAGGAAACAACACAAAAACTTCTGAAGAAGTCACTGAGTGCAACTTTCTTCTTCACAAAATGCAAATAAGTTAATGAATCAATGAATTAAGTAGTACACTG